TGTGATGAAATGTTAGACTAATCTTAGATGCAGGTAAACGGGAAATAAAACTTTTAATTATACTCCATAATGGAGAGACCGGCTTACAAGTATAAAAAGCATGTTCAACTGTCTCCACACTAATACAATAAACAAACAACTTCTCTAGGGTATGCTTTCTACAAAATAGAGTCCACATACAAGGAACAACATCATGAATCATTTTCCAAGCCAAGCTCCTTGCATGTGGATCTACAAAATTAACAAAAGATACTTTAAAATTAACAGTTGCAAAGCATTTAATAATTAGATTTTCTTTAACAACAGATTGAACTAAAATATTATAGAATTGCTTAGTGGTAGCTGGTTTTTTCCAATCAAAATTAGGCTGTAAACTATCGAACAATTTTAAAACATCTACACAATTCTTATAATGAGGAGGAATAAATGAAGCAAAAATTGAGCTTTAGCACGAATAATATTACCGAGATCTCTAGCCAAAGATAAATTGTTTAGCTCTTTTTTAACCGACTTAATTTTCATCATTTAACAATCCCGGATTTGAGTTTTCTGCCAAAATTAAATTACTGTATCTTTTTTCTAGGGATCGTCTCTCTTTATTAGCCAAAATTGCCTTGCCTTTGCAAAATAAGAAATTATAAATTTTTTAGCCTCAAGTTTAAAATTCTCCCACCAGTCAAAAGTTATTTCCGAAATATTACTAAAATTTGCGGTAAAAAATGAACGAAAAGTCGTGGTAAACTCTCGTTCCTGCAAAATAGAGCTATTAAACTTCCAATAACCAGGCCCAACTTGAACTGCGTTTTCTAAAGAAACAAAAGCCAAAACATAATCATGATCTGAAAAATTACAAGGAAAAATTTTGAAATCGTGGAGTGAATTTGTAAATCTACTTCAAAAATAAAATCTGTCTATACGGGTTGAAACTTTGGCTCCATGCCAAGTGCAAATGGTTTCATTAGGTTTTAAAAACTTAAATGCATCAATTAACGAAAAATCTGTTATAATTTTACTCAACTGAATATGTCCTTCTCTACCATTCCACTACTTTAAAACCTTCCTCTTCTTCTTTTGTGACTGTTGATATATCCGTATCCATGCCCGATTCACTATCCTCACTTTCAGAACTAGTATCATCCGATAAGTTACTTCCTTTTCCCTCAATAGTCGTATTTTCTAAATCCTTCTCTTCTCCTTTACTCTCCTGACTCTGAGCGTGATATATCTGTTCATCGTCCCCATCGTCCAGTACGCTTTCCACCTGACGGCCGGACAACTAATTTGGGGCATTCACCCCCTTCATGACCTATGTTTTTACAACGTAGGCATAAAGGAAGGCGACCTCTTGCCGTAATCAGCATCCTGCTGGTAGCCTTGTTATAAGTAATCATGTGAGGCACTTCTCCAAAATTGTTATGACTAAGAGTCATGTCCACGCCCCTAATCCCATTTTTTACAGACAGTTGGTAACTCCAGAGGTTGAGGCATTTCTACATCAGTCACATGGGTTTCCTTTGTTATGTCTTTTGGAGCAGTAGTGGAATTTTTTGTAATCAATACCTCTTGTCTCCGAATTAATTCAGCAACACATTTAGAATTAATTTTTGGAGGTGGAATGGCAAGGCGAGATAGAATTGGATCCTCAACCATAACTCTATGCTGCATTCTCTGGTAAAGTTTTTGACAGCTGTTGATTTCTTGCTCGTACCTTTATTCAGTTTTAACCACAGTTGTTTTATGACACAGTACACTAATCTGTTGGTATGGTCAATTTGTTGAGCAGGAGTGTATCTTATTCCATATTAAACCTTTTGAATCACAGCAGCTGATTGTGGATCACCACTATTACTCCATCCAGAGTAGGCAAGATTGGAGTTTTTAATTGTCATGGTCTTCTAAAATTTTAAATGTTTCGATGATCTCTTTTTGAATTTGAGGGGAAATACCTAGGGATCCTTCTTCCATTGCCAAACTAACTAACAGCAAACTTAACCTTTTCAAACGCTGGTAGATGGCTTGAGCCACAAACATCTTCCAGAGAAAAGAAAAAAAAAAAGAAAAAAAAAGAAAAAAACATTAACTTAAATGTAAAACAATTCTATAAGCTTATAATTCATAAATGATATAGCCAATATTATCTTAAAACAGAAATGGACTTTTGAAAAGTATGGCGACTACAATACTTGTAAAATATCAAAAATATTCTAAAAAAAAAGAAGAAAAACATCAAAAAGTATAAACATACCATTACTGGATCTAACTCTGGTGCTGTCACCAAATCAGTGACTGGAATTGTAGCTGGTTTATCTGGAATCTTCAGATTCATATCCAGGATCTGTCTTTTCTTGTTCATCCAAATCTTCGTTTTCTTTTTCTCCTTTTCCTGATTGAGTGTAAGCATTTCAAGCCTATAAGATCACAGCACTCTTTATGAGAAGCTTTTTTAAAACAAGCAGGTCTTTATTTTAAATTTTAAATAGATTAGTCATTGTTTGTTTTAAATATTTTGTTTGTTTTTAATACCGCCATGTGGTGCATTACCTGTGATATTGTTTTTAGTGTTTTTGTAGTCTTTAAATGACTTTTTCTGTGATATGGTTTTTATCGTCTTTTTTTTGTCACTACGTGACCTTTCTGTGATATTGATAGGTGTTTTATTGTTTTAGTTTTTTTCATTATTTTAACGTATTCTGGAGCTATATAGCCCGTTTTTTGCGCAACCTTTTCTTTATGAGAAGGTTGTGTCTTTAAGACAAGCAGGTCTTCTTTTTTTTAATTTTTAATAGATTAGTCATTGTTTGTTTTAAATATTTTGTTTGTTTTTAATACCACCATGTGGTGTATTACCTGTGATATTGTTTTTAGTGTTTTTGAAGTCTTTAAATGACTTTTTCTGTGATATGGTTTTTATCGTCTTTTTTTTTTTTTGATAGGTGTTTTATTGTTTTAGTTTTTTTTCATTATTTTAACGTATTCTGGAGCTATATAGCCTGTTTGGTACTGATGCTCCTAAATGCATTTCATTTCATTTCATTTAATTTCATTTCATGTCTTCCATGACCTCCTTTCACATTCTCGCTGTCTCGATCTGCATTCCAACGAGCTATCCCTCCCAAAAGGTAAATCTGAAGTGACTGTATGTTGCAATGCACGCTGGGAACTATATCAAAAAGGTGAGAATGGAAACCTTCCAAACTGTTGTTTCCTCTGGAGTATCTGTAATAAGGAATGTCTATTCCATTCAATTTGATATATTTCAGAACTGTATAAAAACTTAAGCCAGCAGGGTCCTGGAGACACACTCTATGTGCTTCTGTTGGTTATCCCATACTTCATCAATGGCTTTATCAGATTTGAACAGAGAGATTCCTTTGGAGTCAAAACCAGCAGCAGTCTTAAGCTCTGAAATGGCAACACTGACCAGATTGTATGTCTCTTGCACTCCAACAGTAATCCTTCTGACACGCAGTTGCTTTCTAGTAATATAGGTGTTGATAATTTCACTTTCGGGAATAGTTCAGCTCTCACTGCTCTTATCAGTAGGTTCAGATCTGATCTGTTATAGGCAAACAAGGCACCAGACAGCTGATTTGAAGGCTGGATACCTTGGATGACTATCTGTGTGGAAAGCAGCATCAAACCTATGGATCCAGCGCCATGCATCCAATCTGAAAAGTTTCTCTACTGATGAAGGTCTTGTAACGGTCCATTAAACTTTCTGCCATTGGCTTTAATTTTTCAGTCGATTCCTTACAGGTGAGAACAAAGGAGAGAATTAAGCTGTTTTCATTTCCAATATTGATACACCATTCAGCTGTGCCTTTTCCAGCACCTGATATCTTTTGACAAATCTGAAAAAAAAAATGGCATTGACATATAAAAAATGCCTTGTTGTGTTATTTTCAAGAGTTTAGTATTCCACAATATTAAATTCTACTTACATTATTATAATCTGTGATGCATTTTTGTGTTTCAAAATATACATACCTTTTTAGTAGAATCAAATTTCAGTATTTCTCCAAATGTTGACATGATTTGGTTCCTGTAGTCGTCTACCTTTTCAGCCTCTGATATCAAAAGTGCTCTTTGGAATTATTTAGCTGAAGGTGGGTCCTTTCTCTTTGGTGGTGGTTTAAAGTTGATTGCAAAAGAATTCACAATTCCCCCTTTCTTTGTTAAAGAATGAAGCCATGTGGTATACAGATCTTTACGTTGAAGGTATTGCAAAGAGTGATTCTCAACAACTTGTCGCCACATCTTACGTGTTGTATTACCAATAGATCGATCCACCATTAACTGAATTATCTTCTTGTCTACTCCTCGCCTACAAAATCAAATTATCAAATTAATTTCATAAAATTTACTCTGCGAGATTATCCACAAACTGATCTTTCTCTTCTGCAGCACTCTGCAACTTGGTTTGTGCCTTCGGAGAGTCAACATGAATCATGTTACTTTTTGTCCTATATAATCCCCCAACTAAACTTAACTTACCTTGGTAAATTTAGTTTAGTTGGGGGATTCTATTACGTCATAACCACTTCCGGTCTCATATGAGACTTCAAAGCCAAGTTTTTCAAAAGATAAACACAAATCGATAAATTAATCTTTTAATATAGCATCAGAATAAACATTACCAGATACAATTTGTTTATCATAAAACTTAGCAAACGTTTGAGTGTTTGACCACTCAGCCACTTTAAGTATGTCTTCAATGGGCACAAAATTAGCCTTTGCCTTCAAAGTAGAAGCACTTCTTATGCTGTGTACCTTATAAATATTACAATCAATACCAGCATTACACATGACCTGCCTAAGCCACCTGCTGATGGTCATTTTAGACACAGCTCCAAATGGTTTAATGAAACTGATAAATAAAGATTTCTCATCTTTTCTTAATGCACAAGTTCTTGATATGTATTCTTTCAACGTAAAAATAACACAAAGCCTCCTATCTGGAGGGTAAGCTCGTAACTCTGCAACAGGGTTACATTTCCCTGCTCGTGATTGTTTCAACAAATCACTGTAATTCAAAACATAAGATGAATAACCTTTTTTCATATCCGACAATGTCAATAAATGAATTGATTGGGTTCTGCTTGCTAGTGTTAAAGAAATCAACATTACTAATTTATATGTTAATAATTTTATACTCAATTTTTTAACTGGTGACAATGTCTTTAAATAATTTAGCACTAAGGAAACATCCCAAGTTTGGCAGTAACGAGGTTTTGAGGGTCGCAAGTTATACACACCCTTCATGAAACGAATTACAAGAGGATGAGCACCAATAGAAAATCCATCCTTAACCAGTCCTAAAGCAGACATAGCTGATCTGGTGGTATTAATTGCACTATAAGAGAGTCTAAAATCTAAAATATTCTCTATAGCTGGCTGAAGACTATCAACTCTCCTTTTATCACAGAAAAGTTCCAGCTCGCCAAGCTGATAAAATGATTTCGGTAGATTTCTCTGAAATCTTGTAAGCCTTTTCTAATAATCGACATGCCATCAGGTAAAGTTTCTTGTGCAGAGGATGTATTTTCAGAGTTCCCACCAGAGTGAGTAGAGACTTTTTCTGAGGAATCATCACTGGATGATGTATTAACATTTCCATAACTGCTGGATACCAATTCTGTGTGGTCCAAATTGGTGCTATCAGAATGCACTCGCATTTTTCCTCTCGTAACTTTACTACCAATCTTGGGTTTAAACTGAAAGGAGGAAGAGAATAGAAAAATATAGTGGACCAATCAACTGAGAAAGCATCTACAAATGTTGCACACGGGTCTGGTTTCCATGAAACATATCTTGGTAATTGATTGTTTAGTCTAGATGCAGACATATCTATTTCTGGGCTGTCCCACATAGTCATTATCTCAGAAGCAACAGCTGTATTTAACATCCATTCAATGTGTCATTGAATGCCGTGAATCATAATCGGTCATATTATTAATCCCTGGCACATGAAAAGCTGTCAACCATGTCGTTCTATCTATGCACCATGACCAAAGTTTATATGCTAAGTCATTACAGGGTACAGATTTGATACCACCAATAGAATTAATGTAGGACAGAGTGCAAGTGTTGTCAGTAAATATTTGTACATGCTTGCCAGTTACAATGTCTTTAAAAGACCTAATGGCTTGAAACACTGCCAAAAGTTCAAGATAATTTATGTGGAATTCTTCCTCAGCTAAATTCCATCTGCCCCCTACATGTTCTTCACCTAATACGCTGCCCATCCAGAAAGACTTGCATCTGTGGTGATAGTAACATCAGGACTCTGTCTTGAAATTGTTCGTGTCTGAGAGTCAATATTTTCGACCCACCAACCTAATTCAACCTTCATATCATTATCAATATTGACAGACTTATCAAAGTCACCACTTTTATATTTCAGGGCTTTTATTTTCCCTTTTTCTAAGGATCTATAATGCATGGGCCCCAGTTCAACAGCTGGGGATGAAGACACTAGGATACCAATCACCCTGGCTAAATCTCTGATCTTACATTTAGGTCTATGTATTAAAGACTTACACTCAGTTCTGATTCTGTCTTTTTTATCAATATCTAAATAGACAACCATTCTCTTTGTATCTATAATGAAACCCAGAAAATCATCAGTTAGTTATGGGGTAATCATAGATTTTCCTTGGTTTATAGTAAACCCTAGTTTTTCTAAACAATTCACTCTTTCTACAACATTCTTCTTGCATTCATCAAAAGAATCACCCAAAAGCAGAGAATCATCGATATAGCCAGAATTTGTATATCCCTATTGT